TTCTTATTTATACGTTTAAAATTTTGCATTTTTTGGTAATAATATTTTAATTATATTTTATAATGTTTGTAGACTGAAAGTGTTGCTTCAAGTAGCTTAGAATTTGAAATTAAAAAAAGAAAATTAGATTTTATCCAGTCTGACTCCAGTAGTGAATCATCATGTATTACACCAACACCAATTATTTTGGATACCTATCATGTAGCAGAGCAGGAAAACCTCGAAGAAAACTATGACGTTGTCTTTAATGATATTGATTTGAACGCACTGATGGCTTCAAATAAAGAAGTTGCTCATGAAACTGAAAAAGAAGATACCACTTTTCCAGGTGTACATTTATTCTCAGAAAACTCTGACATAAAAGATAATGTAAAATTGAAGTTACATACATAATTTTCAACTTGGTTGCAATGACTTTCTGAGTTCAGAAATGAGGATCTTGCTTACTTTACTTTTTTCATGCTTGAAACTCTGCAAAATAATATTTATTGTCCTACCTGTGCATAGTAAAAAATTATAAATTATTTTATGGAACCCAGCTTATTTTTTAATTATTGCATCTTATTGGAAACATAATTTTTTTGTTTCAGTATGTCTATAAAATATTAATTAATTCAGTGGAAGGAAAAAATATTCTTGCACAATATAAAAGAGTAGGCTTAGATAATAATGCTAGATTGAAAGTAGCTTATATGATAATTGTTTCGGAATTTGGTTGTGATACTCATAAAATGTATGTATCCGTAAAATTATTGATACTATTAAAAATACTAGTACTTTATATATACATAGATGTAAAGTTCTTCTTTATATTTCTTTTAAAAATAAAAAAGTTTTGCTTAAATATTTGAATAAAAAGTAAACTTAAAATATATTCTCAAAAATAAGTTTTTTTCCTCCATTACAGAATTGATACCTAACGTTTTCACTTCTTGGCAAATGAAATCGAGAAACTCTTTCCAGGGGAATTGAAAGTAAATAATACATTGTTATCAAGATATTGCATGCCAATAATTTTAATTGTACTAGTCAGTCATGTAAAGATTAATTATAATTTCATTTTAGGACACATATTATATTCCCTCATATACCCCTAAAGGAGGAAAAATTGTACAAGCAAGAAGAAAATTAATTGATAAGTATAACACCATTGTAAGGTCACTTAGAGAGAATGGTATAAGGTCTCTTCGACCGGGCAAATCCATCAATACAATACCTCCTAAACAAAATTTACCTGCAACAGATTTTCTTCTTGGTATGTAAAATTTTAATTTGCTTAATATTCTTATTATTGAAAATTTTTAAACATTTTCTCATACTTGATCAGAATCTGAGAAACATCTGACCATTGAGAACTGCTTAGAGTTCTTGTCGACCAGGCTTTCTCCTTGGGATCAGATCCAAAGATATTGGAAACACACATCACATGTAAGGCTTACCAAGCTACAATTAGGAACAACGCTGGGTTTGGACAATACACTTAACTCAACAGCGGCGTCACAAGAAAAAGGAGGTGAGAAGGAAGAGCAACCTCATGCTTTAAAAGTGTGCAATTATTTTCAAATCTATAAATGCTTGAAGCAGCCTTTAGGTTATACATTGGTGAGTATTTATTATAAATGTATCGATCTCTGCAGTAAAATTGTTGCTTGAATTTCATGTTTTATACGTGTTCTTTAGCTTGAATATGACTTTAGTGTTTTGCATCCAGAGGCTTCTATGCGTATGGTTACTCATTAGAATGAGTTTCGGAAAAAAGTGAAGTTTCGTTGCAGAATTTGAAAATAATTTATACATTTTTTTGCGAAACGATATTCGTATGGTTGTAGGCGTTAGTATACAGTTATTTAGTATTTGTGAAATAATTTGTTTATAATATGCGTTGCGTAATTATCCATTTCTGTACAAAAATCTTTGCACATGATATGAAAATTTACACGAAAAAAATAAGAGAAGAAGCAAAACTCGAACCTGTAATGGGCAGTTGCAGTTCGTGGCCTTATTCACTTGTAATCTGTCAACTTCATTCGTACACTTGGTACAGAAACGCACAAGAAATTTCAAAAACTTGTGATGCTAATTTCAACATAATTATTAGTACAAGGGTACTGATAAACAGGGTGTCCTGGAGGTAATTAGCAACCCGAAAAGTGGAGGTAGATTTAGTTTAAAAATATAAAAGACATGTATCATTTTGCAAATATCGCAAAAATCGCAATAGTTATTGAATAATTATCTGAGCCAACGACGGCGTGGAAAACGGGCGGACTCAGTAAGCACGTAAAATGACTTATATATTTGTTTACATGTAGCTACTGCTACCGCTTGCCGTTCGTTGCATGACAATAATTTTACGGCGACATATGATACCGCATCGGCAAAATATTGTAGCAAACGGCGAGCAGTGCGAGCGGTCACTATAAGATCTAAACAAATGTCATTTTACATGCCTACTCATTGTGAGTCCGCCGTAATGCTTTCCACGCACTCGTTGAGATTTTATTTAATTATTTAATAACTATTGCGAATTTTGCGATTTTTGCAAAATGATACATGCCTTTTATTTTCGTACTCTATTTTTAACTCCACTTTCCGGATGGTTAGTGACCTCCCAGACACCCTGTATATCTTATATAGAAATTAGCATCAAACGTGTGTAAAATTTCTTGTAGGTACGCTTCTGTACCAAAATTCAAGTTGACAGATTAGAAGTGGTGCAGCGAATAGGGCGACGGACTAGAACGTTGCACGTTGCAGGTTCGATTCTTGCTTCTTTCCTTATATTTTTCGTGTAAATTTTCATATCATATGCACATTTTGTTATAGAATTGGGTGATTACGCAACGCATGTTGTAAACAACTGAATTCTTTATTTATAATACTCGCATATGCCTATATATGACCATACGAATAATATCGGTTCGCAAAAATTTGAAATTTATAAATTATTTTAAAATTCTAGAAGGAATTTTATTTATTATATTTGCTTTCACATTTTTTAGTAAAAGGTATATTCCAATATTGTGACATCCTCACAACAAATTTGGAAAACCTGAATTTGTAAAGACGTCTAAGCTTCATTGAATATGTTTTGTATAAGTACACATTGTTATCTTGATATATTTCTTTGTTGATTATCATCCTAATGTATGTCAAATGTCCGAAAAAGATGTTGAAAAGATTTCCGATATATAAAAATAAAATACAAATATAGATTTTTCGGTATTTTTAGACGTAAATAATATAACGTAATATAAAATTCATTGCAGATTTTATAAATAATTTTTGTATTTTTAATTAAATTATGAATCAATATTATATGGTTGCAAACGTTTTACGAGTATAAAGTGTTATGTAATAATTAGAAAATAATAGTTTTGTTACTACATGCGTCACCCAATTGTTTATTTCTGTAAGGCCAGGTCTACAATGGATGTCGGAAGTCGGAGTCGTAA